AAAGACAAAAACAAAACTGATGCCAATCACTTTTGTGGAAGAGAGCTCAAAAAGGATTTTTAACATTTTTCTTACTCTTTTAGTATTAAAAAAATGCAGATTCTATCTGTGAAGGCATTTATAATGTTAGAATTGATTAGATCATATCCAGGGAGATCAGAGAATGAAAATGAAGAAACCTGAAAATGAAGACAGGAGGAGAATTTCATTTAGTCTACTGAGAATGCTTTTCCCTTCACAATTGTTTAACTATAATTTTTTTTTTTTTTTTTTTTGACAGGGGGTGTAACTCATATCAGATACCTATCAGCTATTTGATAAAAAACTAATATACCACTGGAGTCCTTTAGTAGAAAGGAAAGGAAAACTCAAGGTGACAATTGTGAGATTCCCAAAAAGGGGCACATGATACACAGTCTCCTCCCAATCTCCCAAACCTTTGATTCTTCCTAAATGGACAGGCCTACTGAATCAACTCAAAGCTGAATCTAGCTTCACTTCCTGTTTCACAAATAAGGGCCAAAGATGCTTAGCAACAGGCAAAGCAGTAGACTGCATAATCTCATAATCCATAGTATCATAGAATGGCTTGGCTTGGAATGGACCTTAAGGATCATTGAGTTCCAATCCCCTGCTATGGGCAGGGACACCTTACACTAGATCAGGTTGCTCAAAGCTCCAACCTGGCCTTGAACACTTCCAGGGATGGAGCATTCACAGCTTCTCTGGGCAGCCTGTGCCAGTGTCTCACCACTCTCATGGTACGTTTCTTCCTGATATCTAATCTAAACCAGACCCCATTCTGTTCAAAGCCATTCCCCCTTGTTCATGTTCATGCTGGGCATCAGGAAGAATTTTTTTACTGGAAGGGTGGTTAGCCATTGGAACAGGCTGCCCAGGGCAGTGGTGAAGGCACCATCCCTGGAAGTGTTTAAGAAATGACTGGACATGGCACTTAGTTGGCAAGGTGGTATTCATCCAAAGGCTGGACTCAAATGATCTTGGAGGCCTTTATCAATCTTATTGATTCTATGATTCTATGTCAAATAATCTGGCCGGGGGGCTACACTCTAAAAATCTCCCTCCCACTGCTCCCCCACAGGCACACAAGAGACTGATTCATAGACTCTGATGGGGACCTGGTTTCAGAGTCCACTAAGTCCATTAATTCATTAGTAAAATGGACAAAAATGACCAAATGATGGAGTGTCGTAATCTGCTCAGTAACCAGCCATGGGGGATTTATCCTCATTACACTGTGTGTGTAACCTATGAACTTGTATACTGGGACATTTTCACCACCTCGTGAGTCTTACTCTTTAGATATCAAATTAATTTTTGAGTATGTAATTTTTATTCACTTGTAGGTACTTTTGTCAGTGTTGTCAAGGCAGACTGCATTAAATAGTCTGAAAACTCAGTAAGAGGTAGGTAAAGTTTACAGTGCATGGAGAAGAGAGTCAGAGGAGGTAATTGCAGCTTTGGTGTAGTCTAAAAAGACACCAACAGCCCAACAGGGATATCTCTAGGGCCTCCATTTTCCTTAAACATGAGGATCAACACCTGTAAACCTCAGGCTAAAAAGGTGGTTTGGGAGGAAACGAAACAGAGATGAACAGAAAGTCAGGGGGCAGTGTCACATGTATCTAAGCTGTGGTGATGCCTGGAAGTAAAGTAAATGTCAAACGACAAAGACATACCTATCCAAAATCCTTGAAAACAATCCATACTTTAAGCTCAAACTCAAATCTAGAAAAATCAAATAATTTAATAAAAAATAAGGAAATGGACATTTTTCTCTCTTTAGCCCTTAAATAAGTGAAGAAGCACTATACCAAGGCTAAGAGTCCCTGTAGCACTTAAATCAGGTGCTGTAAATTTGTGGTGTGACTGCAGTAATACACTTTATTTCACAGATTATCCTGGCACAAGTACCTTGATCAGGTAATTAATTCATGTGCTGAACAATTGACCCAAATTTTTAGGGGTAATCTGCTCAGTAATCTCCTAAATACCTCCAGGCACAAATTTGTAGCAGGGATTTCAACGCCTTTTCTTCTTTAGTAGTTGGGCCATAAGATGAAATGTTCTGGTCACAGTAATCCTCATTAATAAGAAAGTATTTTGTACTGAGACCCACTAAGACAGTGTGTGTGTGTGTTTCAGGTGAGTGCATTTGAAGCCAATTCTATTTCTTTTTCACTCCCCATAACATTCATTGCTGGCATTTTTATCCAACTCCAAGTTCTTCCCTTATGCTACAACCGTCTGTATCAATGCTGTACACAGTAAGTGGGATTAATCTGCTCTCAATAAGGCAGGCAAAAAGTGGGACATCTGGTTCAGACCTAGACCCCCTGTGAATCTTCTATGGGCAGCAGAGAAAAAACGGCTCATCCAAGGGATGATTCATCTCATTGGAAGAGCACCATGAGGTCAGTTTGATGACTCATTCCATGGAGATTCTTATTTTCCTCTTCTGACTGCAAAGAAAGCCCAGAATGGTCAGCTCCAAGTTGACATCTGACCTAGCTCATGAGAGAGGACTGCCACATGATATTTTTAAAACACAGTATTGTTTATGTCAAATGGCCACACAGCTGCAGCATTACACTAGTCTTTTGGATCCTTATTGCAGAAGAGCAGAAGTGAGTTTTTGTCACTCTGCAGAATTTAATAGGCCACACACACCTATTTTGGACATCTTGTATTCTCAAATTCTTCTTCATAAAGCAACTGATATATTGTAACCAATTATGCAGGACTGTGGAACAACAATGGAAAAATATGAATAAAAACATTCCTCAGATCCATTCAAATCCAGCTCAATTCAAATTTCCTTGAAAAAGGGAAACTCATTTCAGAATCTCCATGCTTAACAATCTTAGGCATATACATGTGCAAAGGAAAAACATCCATCTGTTCGCAGCAAGTTTGCAAGGAATTTTAATAAGACATATTAATGCTAATAATGGCCAATGTTTATGATGTTTATAAAATAAACAATGGGGAACATCTGGAAAGCTTGTAAAACTTGTTCTTATAAAATTCACAGTGTAACACCTTTCCCTGAGGTTGCTTTTGGCTGACCTTATCCTCCTAGGCCAGATCTGTCAGAAACTTTCTTCTTCCAGGCACTGCTGTTACTGTGGCACTAGGAAACTCACATTTTGAAGCCAGAGCTATTTCTGTTTTTGTAAGTTCAGCATTCAGCACATTACAAGAACAAAACAGATAGCCAAAACTGCAAATTTCCACCTGAAACTACAGGGATCTCTATTTCCAAGTGACAGATGTTCTACAACAGTTGGTGACAAATGGGCTAATTTAGACTGATTTAACTAAAGTTCAGCCTGCTGACAATGGGGGACTTTTTTAAATGCAGCTGAAGAAGGCATTTCTGAATGCTAGAGCTGGCTGTCGCACACAAAACTGGAGAGGCCCTGGTGTGAACTGAACAGCACGCCATGCGTGGTGCCTGCATCTCTGTGCCTCACACTGCCTTTTAGACGCTGAGAGGGAAGACAATATTGCCTAGCAAACTACCACGGGAATTAGCTGGTCTTTTAAATTTACTCTCTGAACATATGTCCGCAGAAATCAAGTGTCTTTGGCCCAGAATCTTTGTTTCTAACTTCTGGCATCTAAACTCTTATATTAGGATATATGCCCAACGGTGAATTGGTCTTCTGACATGCTGAGCCCTCCATCACTTATGCAGAAATCTTTAGTGGCTGCTCTGCTAGGTCAGACAAGTCCATCCAAGCTTATGCCTTCAACGCTGACTTTTAAAGGATGTCCACTGAGGGACCAGAAATAAATTGCACAAAAGACTTCAGGACTTTTTTTTTCTTAAATATAAAGATTAAGGGTATGATTCAGAAATTACAATGTAACAACTTCACTGCTCTCTATCTGGTAAATTACCTTGGGTCTTGTTCTCAACTGGCACATGAGAGCTGGCTCCAGGCTTCACCTTTCTGATTATTATATGCCCCTTCCTTGAGGAGCCATGAATAGACATGTTAAAAACCACCAACAAAAAAATCAGTTTTCTTTCTCTTTTCTTCCTTGCCTTTTCTTTTTTTTTCCTCATATTTTTCTCCTCTCCTCTCCTCTCCTCTCCTCTCCTCTCCTCTCC